TGGGAGATTAGGAATGACATATATACACTACCATGCATAAAATAGAGTCTGTCATACAGAGTGAAGTCAGAAAGAGAAAAACAAATACCGCATGTTAACACATATGTATGGAATCTAAAAAAAAAAAAAAAAATGTTTCTGAAGAACCTAGGGGCAGCACAGGAATAAAGACACAGATGTAGAGAATGGACTTGAGGACACGGGGAGGGGGAAGGGTAAGCTGGGAAAAAGTGAGAGAGTGGCATGGACATATATATACTACCAAACATAAAACAGCTAGTGGGAAGCAGCCGCATAGCACAGGGAGATTAGCTTGGTGATTTGTGACTACCTAGAGGGTGGGGTAGGGAGGGTGGGAGGGAGACACAAGAGGAAGGGGATAGGGGACATATGCATGCATATAGCTGATTCACTTTGTTATACAGCAGAAACTAACACAACATGGTAAAGCAATTATACTCCAATAAAGATGTTAAAAAAAAAAAAAAAGCTAGTGGGGACACACTGTAAAGCACAGGAAGCTCAGCGCGGTGCTCGGTGATGACCTGACTTAGATGAGTAGGATGGGGGGGGTGGAAGGAAGGAGGTCCAAGAGGGAGGGGATATATGTATACATATAGCTGACTCACTTTATTGTACAGCAGAAACTAACACAACATTTGGAGTAAAGCAATTATACTCCAAAAAATATTTTTTTAATTCAAAAAAATCATATAAACTATTAATCAATTGACCTACTGCTACTGTGCTGGGTTTTCACTAGTGTTACATGGTAACTCTCATTTCAAGATTCCAGCAGGCCAAATGAGAGATTTTTAAAAATCCATTAATAAAGTGATCATCTACCTTAGTAAAACACTCAAGCTGAGTATTATCAACAACTTATGTAATCCAAGTACATAGTTATAATATTTTGATGTAACTTTGACTGTGTTGTACTTGTACAGTAATATAAATACTGGTGAAATACAGTTCACTGTATTGCACATTTATTTTCTAATTAGACATAACTTCTGAAACATGCTAAGTTATATGTTAATTCTCAAAACTTTATAAATGTGAAGTCAGATTCAAGTTTTAGAATCTAAAGCCATAAAGCTACTGACATTTATCTTTTATTTGAATTATTTAGCATAATCAGTATAAAGCACAGAGCATATAATTTTTTAACAGATGCTTTAGACTGACAACTTCACTACTTCTTTTACATATTTCTGTTTCTGGTCTACATCCATACGCCTATTTAAAAATATATATATAGTTAACTCTTTGTAATGTGAACCTTTAATCCAAGACTAAATAATTTCAAATTTACCTCGCTAAAAATATAAAAGAGTATGCGAATATATCCTGAGGAAAAGAGTTAATTGTCACCATTGTTTTGTCTTTCAAAAATTAGTTGTTAGAAGGCTTAACCCTTGCCCTCAAGTGTTTTTAATTAATTATATTTATAATATATAGATTTATAATTTATATACAGTATAGCAATAGCTATTAAAACAATCTCACCTTTTGTTAATTTAATAACACGAAAGTTCCAGAAAAGGTTTTAGAAACATTTGTTCCATGAATTTGTTGCTTTACTTTGCTGTGCTTTGGTCATGGATAGAGGCAAAGTTAGAGAATGTGAAACAGACTGCTCTATCGATGTTGTGTAGATGTCTGCTGCATAAATGATAAATCTTTTCCTGTAGGTGCTAAAATGATGTCAAGAGACATAAATAAATGAATAAATTCACTTTCATACATGCATGCAACTGTCTCTATGCAACTCATGTTACTGCTTCTTTTAGTAGTTACTTTACTAATGAAGTGTGAATCTTTGAAAGCTGTGTTTTTCATATTTTGTTAATGTATTTTTACTCCTTTTTAGAAAAACTCCAAAAAAGCAGTTTTGAAATGATTTAATTGGTTGAATCTAGCTGAGTGATTCCCATCAGAATTTTGTCCCTGATTATGTCCTATGTGTTTTCAAGAAATGTTAAACTTTTCCTGATGTACTATTATTTATGTTTCAGATGCCTTCATTTTCCCATAAGAATAGTTCTTTCCTTATATTGTCTTTTTCTATGTTTTATATTTATTTATTTATAGCTGCATTGGGTCTTTAAAACATTTTTTTAACATGTTTATTGGAGTATAATTGCTTTACAATGTTGTGTTAGTTTCTGCTGTATAAAAAAGTGAATCAGCTATATGTATACATATATCCCCATATCCCCTCCCTCTTGTGTCTCCCTCCCACCCTCACTATCCCACGCCTCTAGTTGGTCACAAAGCACCAAGCTGATCTCCCTGTGCTATGAGGCTGCTTCCCACTAGCTATATCTTTTACATTTGGTAGTGTATATATGTGAGTGGTACTCTCTCACTTTGTCCCAGCTTACCCTTCCCTTCCTGGTGTCCTCAAGTCCATTCTCTACGTCTGTGTGTTTATTCCTGTCCTGCCACTAGGTTCATCAGAACCATTTTTTTTTTTTTTTTTTTTGGATTCCATATGTAAGTGTTAGCTTTTGGTATTTGTTTTTCTCTTTCTGACTTACTTCACTCTGTGTGACAGACTCTAGGTCCATCCACCTCACTGCAAATAACTAAATTTCATTTCTTTTTATGGCTGAGTAATATTCCATTATATATATATGTGCTCCATCTTCTTTATCCATTCATCTGTCAATGGATACTTAGGTTGCTTCCATGTCCTGGCTATTGTAAATAGTGCTGCAATGAACACTTTGGTACACATCTCTTTTTGAATTATGGGTTTCTTAGGGTATATGCCCAGTAGTGGGATTGCTGGATCATATGGTAGCTCTATTTTTAGTTTTTTTTTTTTTTTTTTT